CTTAGATTCTGTTCCTCAAGCTGTTACTTACAACTCCACCATCCATGCATATCTAGAAGGTTACATTTTTTGTCATATTATAAATTGACTGTAACAGTTTGCTAAGTCGCATCCCTGCAAAATAGTAATTTTTCATTGATATATGTAAATCACCCCTTTTTCTTTAGAAGGGTAGCAAAAGCAGGCATGTAGCTGTAAAGGTAACTTAATTGCTCTCATTTAATTTTGATTAATACATGTAATTGCAGATATGTTTTTGATGGCAAGCCACCTCATATGAAATCTGGAGAGGTAACTTTTCTTTCTTAGTTTATTTTAATGTTCTGCAGTAAAAGTGTACTAACTGGTTAGTGCTGTCTACCTTTTACAGTGGCCCTTTAGAGCTTTTTCAACTTCGTTTGTCAGTGTTTTCAGGTTTCTCTTTTAATATCAGATGACTTTACTACATAAATTAAGGGGAGGTGTTACATTCGCTTCTTTCCATGGGCATGGCCATTGTTGTGTAGACAAAGACAGGTTCCAAATGGCTACAACAGGAGGAGTTAAATATCAGTATACTCTTTCCACACCCAAAACCGTATTTTGTTACATGTAGGTTTAGTGGAATTTGTTATTTGTTGATAACGTGAGTCATAACGGGTGTACAGATTGTAAATGTGGAATGGGAATCCAGAGTACATGTCTTTCTACATTCCAGTCATTGAAAACTGCATACTGCAGTATTCAACCACCTCCATGTCAAGGTTGACAACTTTGTGTCAAAGAATTGGCACATGGAATGTGGCAGGTGAATTTGTCAAACCAAAAGGGATCATGTTAAATTCATAATGACCGAAGGGTGTGGTCATTACAGTCTTTGTGTTATTAAAAGTCTCTTACCCGTACTTGCAAGTAGCAACTCTGAAGATCTATGCAACAGAACCATTGTTCTATCCTGGATACGCTTTCCTTGCTGTTTTAATGTTGAACTTGCAAAGGCAACGTGTATACCTAGTCTACCATCTTTCTTCTGAACCAACACAGTTGGCAAAGCACAGGGTCTTCTGTTTTCAATAGATCTTGGACAGCAATTTGGGTTTTCATCAACTCAGCTGGTGCTACCTTCCTGTGTAGGTCTCTGAATGAAATGTCACCTGTCAACCAAATCTTGTTTGATTATCATTCCCTTTTCACAGCTGGTTTTGGCTTTTCAGGAAATATCTTTTTTGGGACTATGGATAATTGTCATGCTGGCTTAAACCGTGCAGCTTCCCTTCACAGGGCCTGTTTTTGATGTGGTTGCAAATGGGTTACTGATTTTTCTCTCTGCTTTCTTAGCATTCTAGCAAGGGCTTTGCCAGGGTATCTCATTTTTCCCTGACCGACGACTACTCGAGAAGTCGTCTTGTTTACCTTTTAATGAGACGAAAGATTTTACCAAACTGTTATTTTCGAACCTATATTCATTCTAAAGAACTTAAAGTCAAAAACACCAAGGTTGAAAATGTTACCCTTTTTCAGATTTTCTTCACCCAAGCAGTACAAATCTTTGAAGGGAGTCTAACTAATCTTCAATATGGCCAAATTGCTTTGTTAAATTAGAAACTTTCTTCTTCAACAGATGAAACATATTTATAATATGTACTCTAAGGAGAGGGTTTTTTAATAATTGTTTACTAGTTAATGACAAAAAGATATAAACTGTCTGTGGAACTGTATCATAAAGAAGCTTGTTAAAGGTTGCTCACAGATGCAGAACACCAGCTGAGTCTTCATTCTGCCTTGAATTTTTTTCCAGCTGGCAAAGAGAAAAGAGAGACGTGAGGAGGCACAAAAAGGGCTGGCACAAGCAGAAGAAGCAGGTGAGTTGACTTATCTTGCTGGTATCTATGTTAAGCATTTACTTGGTAGCATGATTAGATCACCAGATCGTGGTCAGTGAAATGGCCATCAATGAATTTTAGTTATTTCATCTTGAAATTTTAAATAGATATTGTACTATAGTTTTTGTGTTGAAACATGCCTAGACAAATAAATGCAAATGTTTAGAGTGATAATACAGTATTTTTTCAGTCAAATGCTAACATAAGAATTCAATAATTTTTTCTTCATTTTAGGTGATGCAGAGAGCATGGAGAAATTTTCCCGCAGACTTGTATGTTATGTCTTATGTTGGTTTAAAATAGAACATGTTTGTGAACAGTCATTACAATTTGCATACTAATTATAATACTTTTAATAGGTGAAAGTTACTCCTGAACATAATGCAGAGTGCAAGAGATTACTGAAGCTTATGGGAATACCATATGTTGATGTGAGTTAGGGATGAGCTTGATCATAATAATTATATAGATTTAACCAGGGCTAAAGGTGAAGCTCCCTGTAATAAAATTTATAATTTACTTCAAATTGTAACCATTTCAAGGAAATGCACTTGGGGTGGAGCCTGCCATCAGTTGAAAAACTAGTAATGTGACTGCATGTGATACTGGCCAGTGGACACCTTGTTTTGACAGCTGTCAATTGACCAAAAAATGGATGTGCAATATCGGGTAGCAGGCTCCCACACAAGTTAGATGGTGTGAGA